CTAAAATAAAACGTATAAATACCATAAGTTTAGTGATGATTGAAAATCGGGCGATACTTTCCGTGATGACTGTACATGAATGAATAAATAGTTAACTTAATTATTATCTGGGAACATGATTATTGCCCGTGAACACTTAATTTTCTTGATTATTAAAAATGTAACAAGTTAATGTTTAAATTTAGTATATAGATAATTATAATTTGATAAATGTAATATAATAAATAATAAATAAATTGCGAAAAACTTAGTAAAAGTGATATCAAAGTGAATTAGATTTTTCACTCATGAAAGACATAATTTTAAAAGTGTCTTAAAGTATCTAAAGTGTATATTGTTGCTAAAAAAAAATTGCATTTTCTTACATAAAAGTAACCACACGAATTACGTGATTATGTATTTGTTCCGCACGTTTCTTACTCCTTGATCCAGGCTCACCTTCCCTTATGTCTAACGATAACATACAATTCGATAATGTGTTGTTGCAAAACGATACTGCGTCACAGGAAAAGACTTTGCGTGAAAGGCATAACAGATTACAAAGAGAGCGGCGTCGACGTGTGAGAGAACAGGAAACCTCGAATCAAATTGCACAAAGACAAGCATCAAAAAGGCATAGTCGTGTACATTAGAGAGCAACAGAAGCGCCCGAACAATTATTAAAACGCAGACAATATGATAGGCAGCAGCATAAACTGAGAAGGGCAAATGAAATACCTGAACAAACACTGAAACGTCGACAAGATGATAGATAGCGGCAAAGAGGAAGGAAAGTACAGTTGCAATATAAGGCTGCAAGAGTGGTTCCATTTATATTTAATGGATTACAATGCCATGATTTGGAACATATGAACATATCATGCACGTATTGCTTAACCTTACATTGGATCAAAGAGAAATTAAGTAGCAGCACTATCTGGACTCCTCAGTTTAGCACATGTTGTGCATCAGGCAAAGTGAACCTTCCTCTTCTCCAAACACCACCACCCCCTCTAATAGATCTTCTTACTGGAGATACTTCTGAAGCAAGGTTTTTTCGTAAGGACATTCGCAGATATAACTCTGCACTTGCTTTTGTATCTTTAGGAGCAAAAATTGATGAGAATGTAA